AACCCCAGGCTCAGAAAGCTCTCAAGTTTGGAGCCTGTTTGGGCAGTGTCGTGAAAGAAACCTCATGTCAAAATAAAAATTAAGGTGAGCAGCACCAGTGGGTCCTCAACCTCCCTAGTGCCGCAACCCTTTAACACGGTTCCTCTGTCGTGGTGACCTCCGGCCATAACATTATTTCTGTTGCTAGCTCATAACTGTAATTTTGCTACTGCTATGAATTCTGATATGTGACACAAGGAGTCATAACCCACAGGTTGAACCGCTGGTCTCGGAGTTACAGGTGCTTGCAACCAAAATTGACCACTTGGGTTCCATCCCCAGAGCCCATGCAATGGAAGGAGCAAATCAGTTCCTGCAGGCTGTCCTCTGACTTGCATGTGCTTCCCACCCCCTCCGGACAGATGAATGAATAATGAATGAATGAATAGCTGTAAGTTTTCTAATGAAAAAGGGCAGAGGGCATAGTTCAGGTGATAATGCCCAATGCTGCTAACGCAGACAACAGCGATTTCATTATTCATTTAGCATCATAACCTGCAATTTTAAAAAGAACTGCCGATGCCGAGCAGTGGTGGCGCACGCCTTTAATCCCAGCACTCGGGAGGCAGAGGCAGGCAGATCTGTGAGTTTGAGACCAGCCTGGTCTACAGAGCTAGTTCCAGGACAGGCTCCAAAACCACAGAGAAACCCTGTCTCGAAAAACAAAAAACAAAAAAACAAACAAACAACAACAACAAAAAACTGCCGAGAGCTTGGCGAGTGCCTGCAAGCGTGAGCACTCGAGGTCGATTCCCAGGTGTGTTGGCATGCGCATGTAATCTCAGTGCTGGAGCCACAGAGACAGCAGAGCCCCAGCGTTCACTAGCCAGTCAACCCCAACTCCAAGAAGAAAGTGGGCAGTCACCCTGAGAATAACACACTCGTGCAGATGTGTGTGTGTACTCCCCTCCCCCCGCATGCATCTGGACACGTGAACACACACACACACACACACACACACACACACACACACACACACACACACACTAAGGAATGAGAGAGGGAGTTTGAAGACCTATCTTCCTTTGAGGTCTGGAGTGTAAGCCCCGAGATTCCGTGTTTCTGAACCAGGTCTTTGGCCTCCCGCGACCTTCCTAGTAATGGTGCACACGGCATCCTGCTCTTAGATCATAACATGTGTCCTGGATTTTGAACCCAAGTACTTTCACCCACTCTTCATGTTCATTTAGACCGCACTGGTTTACAACATCTATTCTTTCTTGGGCAACTTACGAGTCCAAGGCCTACCATCATAATCATACACTTAAAAAGATAATGCAGCTCCCACGTCTTTAATTGACTGTACCATGCCACCCTGTAAAACCCCAATCTTGGCGAACAAGATGAGTCTTTATCTGCATACACGCTAGCGCAGGAACACAGATGGGAGGAACTACGTACTGACAGTGTCTCACACGTCTCCAGTCACTGAGCACTGCCTACCTTCTCCAGGGACTGGTTAGAAATGAAGATTCTCGGGCCTCACCCAGGCCTGCTGAGAACCTCGATGGGAGGGCCCCGCAATCCTTTAATGTTTTAACAAGATCCATAGGCGATTCTCATGCCCGAAAAGGTTTGGAGAGCTGATCTAGCTTCATATTCCATTGAGAAACATCCCTCTGGTGTAAGCACTAGGAGGGCAGGGGCTTATGGTTCCTGTTCACATAGATCTTGAGCAGCAGAACAGAGCCTGGCACAAGGCATGCGAGCCCCAGAAAAGACCTGTGAGGGTGTCTTAGTCACACTGTTAGTGATCGCCCTCACGTCCTACAGCAAATAGAAAACCCTACCTGGACATAAACTAACTGCTTGCCTGACCTCCCTCCTTCTCTCTCTTTTTTTTTTTAACCATTTTTTTGGACCGGGTTTCTCTGTGTAACCCTGGCTACCCCACTCTGTAGACCAGGCTGGCCTTGATCTCAGAGATCCGCCTGCCTCTGCCTCCTGAGTGCTGGGATTAAAGGCATGCACCACCCAGTTCCTTCCTTCTTTTCCCATCTAAGGCACCATCTTCACCCCGACAAAGGCTGGTATTCCATATAGACTGGACTTCATCCCCAAAGCACCGCTTCTCTTTCTACAGATTAACCTAACATAGGCTTTTCCTGGAACTGCATCACTATAATACGTGGCCTTTAGTGTGGCCTTCTGCCAGCAGATCCCCAAGGCTCATCTATGCTGTTGCATGTGTAAGTGCTTTGTTCCTTTTAATGGCTATAAGCACCCAGCGCCCACATGGTGACTCACAACCATCTGCAACTCCAGTTCCAGGGGACCTGATGATCCCCGCTGACCTCTTCATGCACCAGGCACACACATGGTACATGGATTTACATGCTGGCAAAGCACCCCTACTCATAAATATTAAAAAGGTACTGCACTCTGTATCTGATGCATTTTATTTCTGCTGAGATGCGCGTCCACATACAAGCCTTGGTGTGGATGTGTGCTTTCATTTCTAAGGCATATATCTCTAGGAGAAGATACAGCAACTTTATGCTGACTGTTCTGTGCCCACTCAGCTGTATACAGAGTCCTGGCGTCCGATGTCATATTAATGCTTGCTGTCAATTGTCTCTTCTTTTTTAGGGGAGAGAGGAAGCAGCTAGGGCTTGAATTCAGGGTCTCTGCACACTAGACAAGCATGAGCAGCCCCCATGCAATGTACTTTTAATTGGTGCTTTTATATATGGGGATCAAGCTTAATTTCCCCCGGTTCCATTTTTTGACACATTTTCCCTCCCATTAAATTATCTTGGTGTGCCGGGCGGTGGTGGCGCACGCCTTTAATCCCAGCACTCGGGAGGCAGAGGCAGGCGGATCTCTGTGAGTTTGAGACCAGCCTGGTCTACAAGAGCTAGTTCCAGGACAGGCTCCAAAACCACAGAGAAACCCTGTCTCGAAAACCAAAAAAAAAAAAAAAAATTATCTTGGTGCCCAGTCAGCGATGGTTTCTTTACATGTTGCTATATTAAATATTCCTTTCCGGTCCACATCTGGTCCCCTTAGCAGCCGTTCCCCTATTCAAACACTCAACTGCCTCGACTCTCCTCTTCGAGTTCCTCCATCTTTCAGTCTTTTGGGGGGAGTGGGGAGGCTGGACCGACTCACAGACTCTCTGCCTCTGGAGTGCTAGGATTATACGCTACCATGCCTAGCTATTTTTAGTCTCTATAGGTTCCTACCTTCTAGCAAGCTTTAAAATACTGGGTTTTCAGTTACAGTGGCTATCTAACAAATCATGACAAAACCTAGTGGCGTAATAAAGTCATTTATTATACTATAGTTTCTCGCTCAGGATTTCAGACTGGTACAGCGAAGTTCCCATCTCTGTCCCACATCTGAAGCCTCAGGCTGGAGACTGGTGTTGTCTGGAGCTCTGTGCACTTACATATCAGGCAGCTGGTGGTGGTTGCCAGCTGGAGGCAGGGACCTCAGCTCATATCCGTGTGACCCCTGACATGCTGTTTCTCCAAGTTGGCTGGTTTGGGCTTCCTCACAGAATGGCTGCTGGGTTCCAAGAACAAGCAATCTAGGAGAAAGGAAGAAAGCAAGAAGCCAGCATAGCCAAAGAGCCTACTCCCCCCACCCCACCCCACCCCAAAAATACAGAAAAACAGTTCCCAAGTCTTAGCCCATGTAAAGGAACAGCAGCAAACTCTGTGAAATGACAAGGTTCTAAAACAGCATGGGGCCTGCAGCTGGGACTCGACGGCAAAGCACTGCGCTAGTGTAGTGTGCCTGGGTTGGAGCCATGCATGCAAAAACAATGTGAGAGCAGAAACTGCCGCGGCCTGCTACAGACAGTCTGCCACGGCCTTCTGGTCAGAGTTCACAGCATCCACACATGCGACCCCGCTCCAGTGTCTCCCAAAACCTCATCCACAACTGCATGAGGCTCAGGCTTGGGAGTCAAGGTTTCTCCATACGCTAGTGAGATCCACGATACAGCTCCTTGTCTACAGTTGCCTGCACATGAAAACTCAGGCACTAACAAGGGAAATACCCGCTGCCCTGCTTTCCACAGCATATGAAACGGAGGGCACAGAGCAACCTTCCCACTCCAAAGGAGAACACAGTTGTTCCGATGCCTCCTGTGTGACTATTTCTATTCCTGTCACTTTAGAGTTTGTCATTCCCAATTTCCTAACTTCTGAACCCCTCTCTAAAATCCAGTTAATCATTTTATACCTTTATAAAATATCTCATCGCTGTTTCCAGCTTAACAGCTAAAATGAACTCTTGTTTTCGACATTAGCCCACGTCCTCAAGCCTCTTGTCCTGGTTCCTGTCCTCCCACGTAGCTGCTCAGACAAACTCAGGACTCACTCTCAGCCCTTCACTCACCTCGACACAACTGTCAGCAAGTTCTACAGCATCTTTCTCCAAAATACATCCTCCTACTCTTCCTCCTCCCATCCCTCCTCCTGCTCCTCTTCCTGCCCCACCTCCTCCCCATCATTGCTCTTACTCCCGTCCTCCCCGCTTCCTCCTCCTCCCTTCCATGGATTTTCATTCTTGTTACATTCTGATTTCCTTTGGCACAGCAAACAAGGGAATATTTTAGTTCTTATCTCATGGTGGCACTTACCTGCTCAAAAATTCCTGTGACTTCTCTCAAGCTCTTACAGCCTGTGCAACGCTAGCCTGAAGTATTTCATCCCGCCCTTCCACTTCCTCACAACTCAGTCTTTTTCATATTTAGGGATATGGCATGACTGGCACCCAGTATAGGTAGGCACCGCTAGAGCCACTGTGTTGTTCCTCTCATAAAGCTTATCTTTTAGCTGCCCTGCTTACCACCTGTCTACCTAGCCTGGGAGATCTGACTGTCAGCTAACGCGCTCAGTCATTTGTTGGATGTTAAAGGGCAGTTCTGGGATAAGACACGGCAGGTGTTACGGTGTACTAAAGCTTCACGTCGAAGTTCTTACTGAGGATACCTTGTGCTTCTCTTTCAGTAACTGCCCTTCCTTTCTGGCTGCTGCTTTAGCCAGAGCCACATCAGACGAAGTCCTCCAGAGTGACCTTTCTGCTCACTGCATCCCAAAGGAGACGGACGGCACAGAGGGGACTGTGGGTAAGTACCTTCTCCACTGTTTGTTCAAAATGCCTGCGCACCTTAAATTTCCCGGACATATACCCCCCACTGGTGACTATCTAGTGTTATCCAGGAGTTTATCCAGGAGTTTTTTTCTTAAACATCAGCAAAAAGAGGCAAGAAGAAAAATCCACGTATATATCTAAGGGATGAACTAGTACACGGAAAGTATTGAAAATAAGAAATGGATGTGATTTCTAGACAGATGGCACACAACAAGTTGGCTCAGTAGCACGGACCTAGGGTCCCAGACACTTGGCAGGCCCGGGTGGGAAGGTCACTTGAATTTAGGCTTAGGCAAGGACCTTGTCTGTACAATAAAGTAAGAGTATGAGGAAAACCTGCCTATAGTGCACTGTTTACCCATGGCTGCACCACCCTAAATGCCCTTTCGAGTCTAAGAGGCTCAGCTGATCTTTTTTTTTTAAATATTTATTTATTTATTATGTATACAATATTCTGTCTGTGTGTATGTCTGCAGGCCAGAAAAGGACACCTGACCTCATTACAGATGGTTGTGAGCCACCATCTGGTTGCGGGAATTGAACTCAGGACCTTTAGAAGAGCAGGCAATGCTCTTAACCTCTGAGCCATCTCTCCAGCCCCTCAGCTGATCTTGAATACAGTACAGACAAGTTTTAAAAAGTCAGTTATAACCAAACTCATCAATCTTGTTCAGTTTTCTATTACAACAGAGCTCCGGCAGGTGCATCACGTCCTTTGTCTCCGTCAGTCACTCTGCATCTTTGCTGATAGCAAGGACAAGATGCTCAACACTCAACACCCACACGCATCCCTGGCACCAGCAGAACTGAGCCCAAGACCTTGGACCTGACACTCTCCTTCAGAGTTACATCTCCAGACACACACAAACACACGCACACACACACACGAGTACGCGCACACACGCATACACACACCACACACACACGGTTTTGAAAGAGAGTCTTGCTCAATTGCCCAGGCTGGCCTGAAACTTGCTATCCTCCCACCTCGGCAACCCGAGCAGCCAGGTTACAGGCATGTGCCACCCCACTGGCCTCCAGTTGATGCACTGGGCTTACACATATTTGAAAGCAGTTAAGCGATTTTTATAAAATCAGAGCATGACTACCCCACCATGCACTTCTATTTTTGGTGCCGGGGATGGAACCTGAGGTGTCTTAAGTGGTAAGAATGTGTTCTATCAACTGTGTAACATTCCTAGCTCACTATTCCAAAATTTTAAGGGGAATATTTTATTGTTATTTATTAGCTATGAGACAAGGTCTCAACTATGTAGCCTCTGGCTGGCCCTTTGCTTCAGTCCCCTGTCGTAGTCTCCTGGGTGCTAGGATCACAATACGTGTTACCATGCCTAGCCCATCTGTTCTATTCAGAGCATTCACCCGTCAGCATGGTACATAAGGAACAAAGCAAGCGCTATAAATAGAAAGACGGCCCAGGGACTGCGGCGTTCCCGCTCTTCCTGTCTCCAGACTGGGACAGAAACTATCCAGGAGGAACTGCTTGTTTTCAACTGAGAATAACTGATTCACCTAGAGCCACGCTGTCCTGGAGCCAACCTGAGTGGAATTCCTTCCACAAAGCTGTCTTTCTTGAATGGAGATGCAAGTGAAACCCTTGTAATGAAGAGATGAGAGATTCGATTCTGCTTCAGTGCAGCGGGATGATGGCTGACTCAGCTCCAGCTCAGCACAGGGACAGTAACAACATTAACGACTGGCAAGTGATCTACAGCCGTGAGGGCTGGACTGCTACTTGGATGGTTCCCACTTTTTCACGCCCCCTTATCTTGTTTTATTTTCCCATCTCAAGTGGCTATTACGTAGACGCTAATGCTCTTCCTATAGCACCCTTGCTGGAGACTGTCTCAGGACTGAAGTGCTGCCCTAAATGCTGGCTCTGAAGAACTGTCTCAGCCTTACAAGGTGACAAAAGTAATCGGGGAGGATTTTTTTTTTTTAATGGATGGCACTGGTCACATTGTTTCAATTTTTTTCTAGGCGATCACTTAGAAATGCTTCCATGCTGTTGAGATTCTCAACTCCCTGCAAATCCTTTATCCGCTCAGCACAGATAACTAGGTGCGAGCTGTACAAGGGTCCACGACAGTGGGTCTCAACCTTCCTGCTGCCCCAACCGCGGTAACATTATTTTCCTTGCTACTTTGCAACTGTAATCTTGCTACTGGTACGAATCTTAAATACCTGTTTTTTCTAATGGTCTTGGGCGACCCTATAAAAAGCCCCTTGAGAACTCTACAGGGACACTGTTGGCCCACAGCTTACATTGGGGAGAAGCATACTGGGTAGGGCCTACAGCACATGCAGTGAGGTCCCCACTTCTTGGTTGTTTCAAAACAAAATTTTATTCTTTTAAAAATATTTTTTTTTAAGTTTCATGCATCAGTGTTTTGTCTGCATATACCTCTGTGCACCAGGTGCTTACAGTGTCCATTGAGGCCAGAAGAGGGCATCAGACCCCCTAGAACTGGAGGGACTCATGGTTGTGAGCCGCTATATGGGTGCTGGAAAGTTAGCCTGGGCTCCCTGGAAGAGCAGTCATTTCTCCAGCCCCTTAAAAAAACTTTTTTCTTGGCTTTTTGAGACAGGATTTCATGTAGCTTAGGCTGACCCCAAACCAACTCTGTGGTGGAGGCTGGCCTTGGTCCTGATCCTCCTGACTCCACCTCTTTGGTCAGAGGATTATGGACTTGGACTGCCATGCCTGGCTAAATTACATCTTTCAAAACTAATGGTAAAGGGCTCGGAAGGTGGCTCATTCCGGAACATGCAAGCTTAGGATTTGGATTAGTACCTCAACAATTGTGTAAAAGCAGAACATGATGGTCTGCCTCTGTAATTCTAGCTTTGGGCAAGTGGAGACAGGAGCTCACTGGCCAGCTGGTCTCGCGCAGTCAGGAAGCTCCAGATGCTCCAGATGCAGCAAGAAGCCCTGTCTCAAACAGTGAGGTGGTTCACAACAGAAGGGTCTTAACACTGACCTGTCCCCCACACTACACATACATACAACACACCACACACAAAAATAAAACAAAAATTAACAAAATTAAGAGCAACAGAAAGGAAAACTAACCTTCTGATATTGCAGTACTTTATCACCCCAGGGAAGGATGTACACGCAAGAGCCCTGGAGATGCACTAAGGGTTGGTTATCCGTCTGATGGAGCCTTTGCTGTACGCCAGCTGCTGGACCGTGTGGCTCCAGAGTTAAACAGGGCTGGAGAGATGGTTTAGCACGTGTGTGCTGCTCCTGCAGATAACCGGGATAAACTCATGGCACCCATCATCAGGTGGCTTCAGCTACAGGATCGAATGACTCTGGCCTCAGTGCTCACATGCACACACCCCTGGCCCCTGACACACGTAATAAAAAATAAATCTCAAAAAGTAAGAGCTACCATGGCTGGTGTGAACAAACAGAACTACGAACACAAGGAGCAAATGGCAGGAAGCCAGGGCTACTCCACCTCAGAGAAGCTGGGTATGGTGCCATGCCCTGTAATCCTAGCACTCGGGAATCTGAGGCCAGCCTGGTCTATAGGAAGTTCCGGGCCAGCTTGGCCTATATAATGAGATTAATTTACATAAGCTCAGGACAAGAGGGACTGCAGGGACCACCCCTAATCATCCAACACTTGAAAGAAAAGTAACTTTATATTTTAAAATATTTATTATTTTATGTGTATGGGTGTTTTACCTGCGTGTGCCCTTGGAGACCAAAAAAGGGTATTGGAACCTCTGGAACTGGAGTTCCAGGTACCTGTGAGCCACCGTGTGGGTGCTGGGAACCAAACCTGTATCCTCTCCAGGAGTAGTATTTCTTTTCTTTTCTTTTCTTTTCTTTTTTTTTTTGGTTTTTCGAGACAGAGTTTCTCTGCAGCTTTGGAGCCTGTCCTGGAACTAGCTCTTGTAGACCAGGCTGGCCTCGAACTCACAGAGATCCGCCTGCCTCTGCCTCCCGAGTGCTGGGATTAAAGGCGTGCGCCACCACCGCCCAGCTCAGGAGTAGTATTTCTTAACTTCTCAACTATCTTGTCTCGTCAACCCCAATATTTACTTACTTTTGATTTTATGTATGAATGCTATGCTTGTGTGTATGCATGTGCACTGTATGTCTGCTGCCCAGAGGCTAGAAGAGGGCGATGGAGCCTCTGGAACCCAATTCCAGGTGGTTGTCAGCTTCTGCGTTAGTGTTGGGAACTGAACTTGGGTCCTCTGTAAGAGCAGCCAGTGCTTTTAACCATTGAGCCATTTGTTTTATTAGCTCCTTTATTGGACAGCATGGGTGTACATAGTGACAGTAATATGTAAACAAAAGAATGATGGACAGTTTATATTATTAGCTGGGATTCTGGGAACATGTCATTAATTTTACCCAGTCCCATTCCCCTTGAAGTTTCTGGATCCATTTGTTTTGTAACCCTCTTTTGTGACTGTGTCAAATAAGGACATATGCATGTCAGGTCTGCATCGGGTGTGTTTCTCCTGCTGAAGCCTCTATGGGAGGTGGTTCTGAAAAAAAGGTGGTGGCACATGCCTTTAATCCCAGCACCCAGGGCAAAGGCATGAGGATCTCTGTGAGTTTGAGGCCAGCCTGGTCTACAGAGTGAGTTCCAGGACAGACAGAACTACACAGAAACCCTGTCTCAAAAAACAAAAATCAGAAACAACAACAAAAAGCAAGAGAAATATTTGGCTGTTTGTTGGCTTGTTCATTTCTTGTATATAACTCCTCAGGGAGTATTTGCTCTTTGAACTTCCTTTCCCTTTCAAATACACTTGTTTTTCAGTAAAATAAAATTAGGAAGGGGAGGCTGGGTATGGTGGTGCCAGCCCATAAGTCACAGTACTGGGGAGCCTGGAGGCAGCCTGTGCTAACAAGACCCTGTCTCAAAACAAACACAGAAAAACGTTAAAGGGCTCAAAAGCCATCGGCTAGGACTATTGTATATTAATAATAAGGAAAAACTGAAATAAAATCCTTGAGCCTAGCTTTCTAAATATAATAATTAAAAAAAAAAATGGAGCTGGAGGCAGTGGCTGACACCTACCTATAAGTTAGGAGGCTGAGGCACTGTGAATTTGAGACCAGGTCAGCCTGGGGACAGAGTGAGACCCTGTTCAAAAAGGACTGGGTGAGTGTTTGCTGGGTGTGGCAATTTGCAACTTGGGAAGCTAATTCCAACACTTGGGAGTCTACAGAGGAAGATTCTGAGTTTGAGGACGGCCTGGGCTTTATAGGGGGATACAGTACATATGCTGCCTGCCATGGTCAGGGCCCCGAGTTCTATTCCTAACACTACAAAACAAGAAAAATCATGTAAGAATTATGCACAAGAGTGGAACTGGAGTCGCAGATTCAAGGCTAAAGCAAGATTGGAAATAAAGAAATGGAAGTCCTAGGTCCATGCTGCTGAGGAACACACAGTCTCTTTGGGATTTCTGTTCTAGGCTACAGGAAGCATCTGTAGCCATTGCCCGTCTGCCACATACTTCCTCAGGCTGCCAAGCTGTGTCGGATTTAGTAAAGCAACTTTCTGCAGGAACACCCAAAGTACCGAAAACCTCCTCTTTTGGTTGAGGAGCTACAAAGAGAGTGGAAGACAGCCTGAAGAGATGTTAAAGACGTTAGCTATAGTCTCTTCAACACACACTGGCCATGTGCCATGGGACAGAAGTTTGCCACAGCAGCCAGATGTTAACTATTGCGTCAGACAGTAAAGGTGATAGAAGCCAGCTGTAGTGGCGCATGCCTGCAATCCCTGCACTTAGGAAAGTAAAGCAACTGGGTGTCACTTATTCAAGGCCAAGGCCAGCTTGAGCTACCTAGCAAGACTTTGGCTAAATAAATTAATAAGCAATTGAAAATAAAGCCTTTAATCCTAGCACTCCAGAGGTAGAGTCAGGCACCTCAAGTTCAAGGTTAACCTGGTCTATAGAGTGAGTTCCAGAACAGCCAGGGCTACATAATGAGACCCTAATAATAATATTTTTAAAATGCACTTAGGTGAAGACTCCCACAATACACACAAAGAGAATTCAGGTTGTCCTCCGGAGTAAACACTCATTTAACACATTAGTTACTCCATTGGCTAAACTACTGCTTAAAACTTTAATAATAATAAATATATCAAAGAAAATATGTAACTCAGTTCCACATGATGGTCTGTTCACTAGAGAGAAGACATGAGAGATCAGGAAGAGGAAGTGAGAGTGGGTCAGTCTGCCAGCTGTCCTCGCGCGTCTTCCCGCTCCGGTGGCTGCATAACCAGCACTCGTGTTTCAGTCGTTCTGTGAAGCCTAGAAGGCTCGGCTCTCCACGTGACAGCCACAGCAGCGTCCAGTGAAGGCTGCTCCGGCCTAGAGGGCAGAGGGCTGGAGAACACACTGAGCAAGCCTGGCCTGACTGGAGGTCCCCTGCCAGGGGTTGACCTTGGGGGCAGCTGGCAGGCTGTTATTTTTTTCTCTTCAGAAGCAGTGTTCCTTTCCTTGAGTTCAAGAGGACACAGCTGGGGTGGCTGCTTCTGTCCTTCCCAAGCAGGAGAGAGGAAAGCAGTGTTACAGGGCTCTTCACCGGGGGTCTGTTTCCTTCACAGAAATCGAGACAGTGAAACTGGCCCGTTCTGTCTTCAGCAAACTACACGAGATTTGCTGCAGCTGGGTTAAGGACTTCCCTCTGCGCAGGAGGCCTCAGATTTATTATGAAACATCAATTCATGCCATCAAAAACATGCGAAGGAAAATGGAGGACAAGCATGTCTGCATCCCTGACTTTAATATGCTCTTCAACCTGGAGGTAAAGGGCATTCTGGGAGCTGGTGCAACACGGTCCGTCACTCGCCGGACGGAGGGAGGTGGACTGCACTAGAAAATAGAACTGTTTTGTTATTTTGAGTAAGTTCAGATCATTCCAAACCGGGAACATTATGTTATTTTTAATAGGCTCACATGGTTCAAAATTGGGAGAGTAAAAACCTCTTCTGGACAGCCAGCCAGTTCCTATCCAGGAAAGCAAGTAAAGTTACCAGTCTCTTTGGAAGCTTCTAAAGCATTTTATTAGCAACCAAAGAAAACCATTATACTGAAATACAGTTTTTAAAAGGAGAATATTTCTGGAGTAAAGTCAAGTGACTTAGTGAATTCTCAGAACAACACCATGTTGCTGAAGCAACAGAAAACACAACATAAAAGAATAAATTAAGGCTGAGACAACTTGAGTACATGTGATTTTCTTTTTAAAATCTGGGTCTCTGAGGTAGGAAGTAGTTGGAATTACACTCCACAAGTCTCTGTGACTGACAGATTAGATCCATATGAGCCGTGTCAGCTTAATAACCACGTTCTTGCTGTCGTCTCTTTTCTAGTAAGCGCATTATGCTAATGCAAACAAAGGTGGGCTTGCTTCCTCTGCCTGTCACTCACCCTTTCTTTCTTCTAAGTCTATAACTTGAAAATTGCGGTGTAGTGATTTATACCCAGCATAATATTTCCTTCACGTAGTAACTAACTTTAAACTTCATGGACTGCCAAGGGCTAAAGAGCAATGCAGGTTAGCAGCTGGGGCTTAGAAAGACAGCAGCCTTTCTGCGTTTTCCATCTGTGCGTTTGGTGCTGTCTGTGCAAATGTGACGCAAAGGCTCCCTCCTAAACAGTCCCCATAGACTACACCTACTGAAGGATGCTGTTCAGGATGTTGACCTGGCGGTTTTCATTTGTCTCCAAATGTAAAAAACAGGCAGAGGCCTATCTCGGAAAGAGCCACCTTGATGCACCAAAGCAGGGACTGAAGACTACTGAGCTATGATTATTTAGTGTTACAAATTCTCATACCCTTGATCTGATAACTTTATTTCACTTAAAATTCTTCATCACAATGGAAATACAGCAAAGTCTTAAGTATGTGTTTGATAAGTATTTCAACATTATTAATAAAAATAAATCAGAAATGATCTAAAAATCATTAAAGGAAATGTATCTCAATCTATTCAAGACAATGTCTTTGAATAACATGCAGAAATGTTAATGACATAGAGCAGGACATAAAATTTCATATATAGTGTGATCCTTACTTTAAAAATGCAAAGCCAGGCAGTGGTGGCGCACGCCTTTAATCCCAGCAATCGGGAGGCAGAGGCAGGAGGATCTCTGTGAGTTCGAGACCAGCCTGGTCTACAAGAGCTAGTTCCAGGACAGGCTCCAAAGCTACAGAGAAACCCTGTCTCGAAAAACCAAACCAAAACAAACAAAAACCCCACCAGAGCCAGGTGTGGTGGTGTACACCTGTAATCCAGGACTTTAGAGGCTGAGGCAGGGTAATAGCTACAAGGCAAGACCCTGTGTCAAAAACCAAAGCACACACTCACACACACACACCCAGTTGTAGAAGGTTTATCTCACATACCCAAAGTCCTAATAATCACCATCACCAAAACAAAACCCAGCCACAAATGTACAGAGATACAGATAAATGATATGTATAGATAAATGATAGTGGGGTTACAGTGACATTCGTTTTTTTATTATTTTAATAAATTATCATTTTTTGCTTTAAGAAACTACACTGCTTTAAAAGAAAGTTTGTGCAGTGAAACATACAGCATCATACATGCTGAGATCCCACGACCAGTGCGACAGCCCTGACTTTATGCTCCCTTTGCCAAGACCCCTCCTGGCTGCTGTTTCTTCTTCTGTTATACTGACTTGCTGGGAATTGTGTACTACTTTAGTCCAGATATAAATTCTAAGTGTCAGGATTTATTTTTAGACAATTCTGCTTTGTCAGTCTTCGATGGTACCATAGACTGTTCTGCTTGAAATGCAAGACACACTAGAGGTAGTGCCTGTAAGTGACAGGACGTCTGAGTGTTACCACTCTCAGGACAGCTAGACGCAGTGCTTCTGCTAGAGCCATTTCCAAAGCACAGAGACACAGGTGTGAAGGTGGACGGAGAATGAAGCGTCTACTCAGCACATCTGCGTCCAACCTGGGCTGTGTGACACTGCCGCAAAAATAATAAACAGGTAAAAACAAAATAAAAAACCTAAAGCAAGCAAGCAAGCAAGCAAAAACATCCCCCAAAGAAAAGATTGGTTCAGGATGACAGAACCCAGACTCCCAAGGAAAAAAATGTAAAGATTCCCAAATGAAGCCATTAGCTACCGCTGCCTCAAGGGAACTTAGTAACCATGAAACTTGAGCGACTCGCAGATTACCAACAAAGCTAAGACTCACACATCCGAGCTGAAAATGAAGAGAGTGGCCAACTATCTGGCACTTGGAGAGTGAACTCAAGACACAACAGATGGTAGAAGGGCCACTGCTGGCAGCCGGCCTTTCTGAGAAATGAGACGCTGAAGTTTAGATTGGAGCTGAAGCGAAGGTGCCAGCCACACAGGGCACTTGGGCATCTGATACGTAGTTCAAGATTGGCTAACAAGTTTAAAGACTTATTTATGGTAGGAACCCAATGTGACCAGGAACGGTGTAGGTTGTCTTTATCTCCATGTAGTTTAGATACCCTGCACAAAACTGGTCTTGTGCTGGAAAGCCAATTATCTTTTATTGTTCTCTGGTATTTTGAAAGAAGTACTCAATCCGGAACAGCTTTTGCTCACTTTCTCTCATCCCTTCTTTCCTTTTCCTCCTCCCAACCTCTAACTATGGTTCTGAAGCAAATGCATGTGGGTGTTTCCATGGTACACAAGTTTCACAGGGAGGGCCCTCCGCCCGCGCTACTGGGCATGATGTAAACAGGGCGCTGTGTAAACAGTGCTCTAGCAGCGCAGCTTGCGGCAGCTCATCAGGCGCGTTGGCAAAGGGAAACATCAGTCTCCTTATCTGACTGACACAGTAGAGGATGGACATTTCCAGGGCATCGGCTCCTTTGGATGGTACTGTGCCCCATTCCTTAACTGCTTTGTGTCTTTATTGACAGGACCAGGAGGAACAAGCTTACTTTGCAGTGTTTGATGGCCACGGGGGAGTGGACGCTGCCATTTATGCCTCTGTTCACCTACATGTTAACTTAGTGCGCCAGGAGATGTTCCCCCATGATCCTGCTGAGGCTCTCTGCCGGGCCTTCCGTGTCACGGATGAGCGGTTTGTGCAGAAGGCAGCCAGGGAGGTATGCCCACGTCCTTGTGAACACCAGCTAGGAGTGCACCAGCCGAGTTCAATCCAGTCTCTGTGGCTGAAGGGCACTTTGGCCTTTTCTCTTTCTGGGTACATATTATCTAAACTGTACACACACACACACACACACACACACACACTTTGGCCTTTTCTCTTTCTGGGTACACATTATCTAAACTGTATGGACGTACACACACACACACACACACACACACACACACACACACACTTACTTGAGCTACTTGTTGGACTCTGCTCAATTCTAAACCCAGATCTCTCCTGAGGAATAATTTTGAGGGACACAATGAAACACTCACTGTAAAGGAAACTCATTCTGTGGCTGTCTGGCCCCTTTCTAGAATTGCTGCTGGATTTGGCAGGTGAGTATTGCTTCTTTTTTCCCTACTACCTGTTAGCTTCGAGCCTGGACCTGGTGGATTGAAAACAATAGTTTTACAAAGGAAACAGAAACTGGGATGACTTCCATCCATTCCTTCTGCATGAGCAGGCAGTGGTCACCGTGCATCTGTCTCCAAGGAACATTTCCGATGGAGAGCTCGGAGAGTCCTTAGATGATCCTACAACTGATTTCTTCTTAATAAGAAGAGAAGACAGAACTCATGTCCTATATTGCTAAGGCTGGTCAGAACTAAGCACTTAACTTAGAATGAAATTGAGGGGCTCTGTATTAAAGTCTAAAAGAAAACAAACAAAAACCCATATGTACATCATGCTGTGCAATGAAACATAATTACTTGTAGTTCTCTATGTTGTAGTACTCCATGTTGGATTTTTAGCTGGGGAGTGCCAAGAGAAAAAGGCACATTTTTAACTTTTCAAAACTAATTATATATTAAGATATGAACAACAAGTTAACATTTCTATCACATGACTCAAATGTGAACTTTTAAAATGAAAAGACCAGAAAATTAATTATTTGATCCCATTTCCCTGATCTTGCAATTATGCTGCAAAGCAATAGTGAGGCTTAAAATTAATGAAAGAAGAATCCAGAACTATTTGGCAACAAGCCAAGAGAAGTATCTACCTTGAGCCCTAAGCTTGGTTTAATACACAAATTACTATAGTAACAACTAGGATCCACACGTAGAGCTAGGGCTGCACAACAAGACCCCAGTGGATTCGGCCCTTTCCTTAGCCCTGCCTCTGTGGAGGGACACTGTGAGCCTTGGGGGCGGCGGCGGCGGCCTGTATTCAGCAGTGTGAGCAATGGTTCGTCATTTTGTCTTTTTCCTAATCTTATGTGCTGTTTCCTACATCCCGACCGTGCTTCCCTTGCTTGCTCTGTCAGTGGTGCCATCTCTGTCCTGTCAGAGTTCTCCACATAATTCAGGGTCCTCTCAGAAGTCGCTTCTCTCCTTCTTGTGCCTCCATGTGCTCCTTACTGCTGGGGAGTAGCTATTCCTGTTGTGGGCAGCCCTCCCCTCTCCTGTTCTCTCCAGGGCATATGCACTGAAGTGTCTTTATCCTGTGTTCCAGAGGGCTGAGCTTTTCAACATTCTGTGTGGGAAGACATTTTATTGGTGGGTGAGGATTTATAACAAACTTTTCCTATATAGGGAAAAAGAGAAGTTGTTTTTCTCATTGGATAGAAGAAGCCCTTCACCACCCTGACGCACTCGTTCTAATTTGGGCCAGGTCCTTAGTAACAGACTCATGCTCATTTGGTGGTGACTCATGTCAAATGGAGATGTCATTTTAGTATAGCAGGATCAAGAGCTTTAAGTACTGTGGTAGCTATTGCAGTGAAACCCCAGGCTGTTAGTTCTCTATGCAGTGTTTCCAGTCAAAGCTCCCTAAAAATACTGTGGGGAAGATTGTTCTGGTTTTTGTTTTTAAAGGTATATAAGCATTTTCTTCAGTGACTATATGCTGTCTCGGCTCCATGATATCCAGAGATTGAGGACATTTCTTTTGTACTAAGAAAATACTTTGTGTACACACACACAAACACACACAACAACTACATCACCTCACTGACAACCCAGTAGGTCAGAAACAAAAAGGACTAAGGCTGCCTAGAAGTGATTGCGCGTGCCTTTAATCCCAGCACTTGGGAGGCAGAGGCAGGTGGATCTGTTGTGCTTGAGGCCAGCCTGGTCTACAGAGCGAGTTCTAGGACAGCCAAAGCTATTTCACAGAGAAACCCTGTCTTGATATACAAACAGTGGGGGTAGGGGAAAGGAGAGAAAGAAAGTCCCAGCACTTGGGAGGCAGAGGCAAAAGATTCTCCATGAGTTCCAGACTAGCCACAGTGACAGTCAGACCCAGTCTTAAAAGAAAGGGGTAATGGTGGTAGAATGGATTTAACAGTGAACCAGGAAGAACAAAGACTTAAAGTGTTTGCACAGTAAAGAGATTACCAGTCCTTGGACAAGTCACAAATATGCCATGTTTTTAAACACATTCATGTATTATGTGTGTGTGGGGGGGGGGGTGCGTGTATGCCACAGTATCATGTGGAAGGAAGGACAACTTCAGGAGATGGTTCTTTATTGTCCACCATATTGAGAGTCAGAGGTTGAACTATGGTACTATGCCTTTACCTTCTGACCTTCTCACCTGATCCAGTTTTTAAATTAATTAGCTAATTTATATTTTATGAGTAATTTTTTTGCCTATATGTATATCTGTGCACCACATGCATGCAGTGCCCATGAAGGCCAGAAGAGGGCATTAGATCTCTTGGGACTGAGTTACACATGGTTGTGGCCATTGCCATATGGGGTCCTCTGGAAGAGAAGCCAGTGCTCTTAATCACTGAGCTGTCTCTCTCCAGCTGCAAGCCCAGTTCTTAAAAAATCTATACTTAAAACAAATCTGATAATCATTCCTGTCCAGTGTATCACAGATCAAGTGGATTTGTGTATATAAATGCACATCAAGTTCTCTGAGGCAGGAATGGTGGTATTACATGTTTAATCTCAGCAGAAGCAGGTAGACCTGTGTAATTTTGAGACCGGTCTGGTCTATATAGCAAGTTCCAGGCTGTTAGAGCTACACAGTGACTTTATTTCAAAACTAAGACAAAACTGAAGCTCATCCCCAACTAGTACCCAAAAGTAGTTTATTGTTTTGAAGATATTTTTTAGCTATAAAGCTGTTATTTTTAGCAAAATTAATGCGTGTTCACTTCAGGAAGTATTAAAAATACAAATAAAAAGATTCAAAATTCCAAATAAAGAAAATGCTCTGAGAAACATGAATTTGTAATATGAAACAAATTACTAATTGTCTCTCAAATGCAGCTTGTATGGATTATAAATTGCTTCTGAATGGGAATTTGGTGTTTTTTTGACTATGGTCTTAAATTATTTTCAGAGCTTACGATGTGGGACCACAGGAGTAGTGACTTTTATCAGAGGCAACATGCTCCACGTGGCATGGGTGGGCGATTCCCAGGTTATGCTTGTAAGAAAGGGTCAAGCTGTCGAGCTCATGAAGCCACACAAGCCAGACAGAGAGGTATGTATGGTCCGTTATACTCAAGCATGTCCTAGAGGCAGTTATTATTATTGCCTTTGATCTCAGCAACTATACCATGCCCCTAAAGGAGAAATACAGAAAGCCTCTTCACAGAGATGATGCGCAGTATATCTGTTTACTGTAAAGTGATGAATAAATTCTGAATCCAATTATTTGCTTTTTATTGCACTGCTCTAGGATGAAAAGCAGCGAATTGAGGCCCTTGGAGGTTGTGTGGTTTGGTTTGGCGCCTGGAGGGTGAATGGAAGTCTATCAGTATCCAGAGCTATAGGTAGGAAAAAAAACATTAATTTTGTTTCTCCAAAATCTTCTACCTCTCTGCCATGTGTTAACTTTGATATGAAGGAACTTGAGATGCTAACTTATCTGCTCAGAGTGCTTATTACTCTGTGTTTATTACTCAGAGTGCTTATTACTCAGAGTGTTTAAGATAACAGCTGGATGCTTTTTAATGATTTAAGTACACCTGGCTATTTATACATTATATATATATATATATAAAATCTCAAGGAATGCTCAATTCTATTCCTTTGACAGAGGCCTCCAGGTTAGCGTGCAAACCTACCTGAAACCATACTGCTTGTTTCGTTCTCTATTTCCAGAAAATGGAAGTCTCTCCAAATTTCATATTGTTTCTATCTTTACCTCTTTCTTTTTTGGTGAATTATAAAATGACGTGAGCAGAACTCTTAGAAACAACACACTTTTTATACAAAACTATTTTCTAAATACGGACTGTATCTTTTGGGAGAGAGGGTGTCTACGTAGACCAGAGTGGACTCTGCCTGGAGCGCTAGTATTAAAAGTGTGTACTACCATACCTGGTCCAGAAAAGACAATCTGTCAGATAATCCTGCGTTCAAGTTTATTTTTTCTTCTTCCCTTTCTCCTCATCCATGCTACGGAGCGAATCTAGGGCTTCATGCATTCTAGGCAAGGGCTCTACCCACCCAGCTCCACTCCCGGCCCTTACAAGCTTCCAAAGGAACTGGGCTCCCTAAAACTCAGTCTGTTTAAAAGGCTATAAAAAGGCTCAACAATGATGGGGAAAATTATAGGTGTGACTTCAGGAATTGGCTGTGCCTGCCTTTGTCAGCTTCCCAGCGTTCTTCCTTCCTCAACACAGACTCACATGGAAGCCTACAGAATCCACTCAGTGTTGCTCGTCTGTGTGCTTAGAGCTGACTGTTTAGGATCGCCAGCTTTTGAAAAATAAGTGTGTATTTCATGGGTAGATAAGCAGATATGCATGCATACCACAACCCTTAAATTCTACCTCCCCAAACAAGTAACTGGACATAGAGCTAGCAGACAAAAAGTTCGTATCTAATCGTCAGATTTACTTCATCGTTACCAAAGATTCCAGAACAAGGAAACCTAAAAGGTTTGGTTTAGTTTCATCAGTTGTTTAAGTTCTTCCCGAAAAGGTGCTGCTGGCCAGCTGTGACCTGCCCCAGATATGAGCACCAGGAGCTGAATGAGAAATAGAGAGCTAATGAGTATAAATACCTCATGAAGAATAGTTTTACCTCACAGTGAGGGAGCTATTAGGTACTCGGGAACAAGGCCAAAAGGGGGAAAATCTTGAGCTTAAAATACACTTTTGTTTTTTGTTTTGTTTTTCGAGACAGGGTTTTTCAGTATCTATGGAGCAAGTACTGAAACTCGCTCAGTAGACCAGGCTGCCTCTGCCTCCCAAGGGCTGGGATTAAAGGTGTGCGCCCCACCACCTGGCAAGCCTTTAGTGTATTTTAATACACTCTTATATATACAATTATTTTTGACAACTAGAGGTGCTTAAGACCCCTTCCTCTTCCTTCAGACTGTATTTGCCAGGAGATAAGAAAAAGTAGATGCTGGCCCTAACTCTAAAGAGAGCACAAGGTGAAACCAGAGCAGAGTAGGCATGTCCTCGAGTAACGGACAGCCTAAGATGAAACAAGGTCAACATCACAGATAAAATGACTTTTCAGCTGGATAGGGTGACATACTACATTTAGGGAGGGAAACCCCGGGGAGAGAAATAGTTTTAGAAATAGCAGTGAGTGCAGGCAAGAGCAGACAGTAGAGTGGTCAATTAGAAGTGTTCCTGCCAGCCTGTGATGGGCTTCAGATTTGACCTTAAGTATTCTGGACTTCCCAGGTGAATAAGCACAGGAACCACACAAGCAGGTGTGTCTTTTTAAGCACTTGCAGTGACGACGTGGAATACAGACGAGTGTAGAAGAGCTCAGCTGTGGGTGCACTGCTGGAGACGAGGACATCTAAAAAGGGAGACACGGGGGAGGGCGGACTGTTGAGACAGATGATAGTATGTAAGGACAAGGAAAACCAACTTCCAGGTTTCCGACTTGTGAGTAGGAAGACGCTAAGCATTTGTAATAAAGCAGTAGCAGCTGGCAGGGGGTGAGTTCAGCTGGACATATTTTCAGTTCTAGGTACTGATGGGATGTCTTAGAAGAGATTTTGAGTGTACTTGGAAATATAGATCTGGAGTTTAGCTGAAAGTTGAGCTGGAGCAAGGATTTAGTAACTCATTCCATTTTGGCAACAACATTTCATCTCTCATGTGTGCACCCACACAGGTTGAAAACTACAGGCATGAGTAACACTGCCCAGAAAACATACACTGTGTAAAGATGAGGCCCATGACTTAAGGGTAACTAACACAGTGGCCACGCAGTCTAGGTTTGGATCTTGGCTCTGCCACTATATAGGCTACTGATCTTGGAAAGTTAATGTCTTGGTACTGGGAAAGTACTAGCCCAGTTCCCGTCCTGTGTGAGGCGGCAGAATATGAGCGGAGCCCAGCACATTCTTAGCCACAACAGTTGTACTATGAGATCAAGGAACAAACCAGGAAAAGAGGATTTCTAGACTTGGGTAGTCGGGTGCAGAGGTCCTGTGAGAGATGGGTTTAAAAAAAAAAAGAAATGGAATTATGAGCTGGAGAGACGGCTTAGCACTGTTGCTCTGGCAGAGGTTTGATTCCCAGCACCCACAGGATAGCCCATGCCCATCTGTTGATTCCAGTTCCAGGAGATCTGATGCCTTCTTCTAACATGTTCCAGCACCAGGCACACAAGTGGTGAACATACATACCCAGACATTTGTGCACGTAAATACATTTTTAAAGAAATGAAATTTTAAATAGGAAATAATTGGTAGTATCTGAGAGAAATGTTTTAAGTTGGTATAAGTATATACTAATTAAGATATAAAAAGATGGACATGGTGGCACATGCCTGTAATTTCTGCACTTGGGAGGCTGATAGGACTAGGAGTTAGTGTCAGCTAATCTAGGCTACATATTACAGTGTTAAAAAAAAAAAGTAGAATTGAATATATTTGTAGAAAGAGAGTAAGTAGGGGCCGGTGGTGGTGGCGCACGTCTTTAATCCCAGCACTCGGGAGGCACAGGCAAGCGGATCTCTGTGAGTTCGAGGCTAGCCTGGTCTACAAGAGCTAGCCCCAGGACAGGCTCCAAAGCTACAAAGAAACCCTGTCTCAAAAAGCCAAAAAGAAAAAAGAAAAGAGGAAGTAAGTAGAAGAGCATCGAAAATGAGTCCTTTGCCTGAGCTCCAGAGAGAAGGGAACAAAGTAACTGACTCTGGTAGGGTATACAGGTCAACTCTACCTTACCCCAGTGCCAAAAGTAGTGCTGGTGGGGACTATGGGCTTTTCCTTTGGTTTTGTTTGTAGAAAAATTGAGGAAATTTTTCTCAAGTCAAAAAAAGTCTTACAATTTTCTTTTAAGAAAGTAACGAATCTATCAAGATCTAGTTTAACTGGCTTAAGGAGTCGATGAATAAGGAGGATTTGGGGGCTCACAGGACAGGAGAAGGGGCGAAAGGACAGTTCGGCTTCACTTCCAGCTTCTCCACTGCCTCACCCCAGAAGCCCTTCATTGATGAGCCAAAGCTGACAGAGGCATGTACGTTCTCTAGCATATGGACAGAGGAGGCTGAGAACAACAGGATGCTGCCATCTCTACCAGGAGATGGGTATTTGTGCCCTCCTACCAAATTTGGGGGCGAAATGCCATGAATTTGACTCTCAACACTGGAGCGCTGAAAAGCCAGAGTTCTGGCACTGTTTCCTCTGTGCAAATCTTGTATGTTCTGTTCTAAACCAACAGTTGTGCCAAGTCTTCTCATTGTTAGCACTAACAAGATTTTTCTGGAATAGTGTAACTCAGATCACATTTATTTTTAGAAGCAGAGTTCAGAAAATAGTATTTCTATCAGGTAGAATAGGGGAAATGAAGTAAAGTGGACTGGTGAGGGTATTGCTCTTACCTTTAGAAGTTAGGATGAGCTTCACTAGTCTCTTGGGACATCACAGTAAGAAATGAAGTCAAAGCCATGCTTTTAAGAGGCAAGAGTGGTGGTGCACACTTACAATTCCAGCTGCTGGGAGGTGGAGGCAAGAGACATTCAGGGGCAGCCTTGGCTACAAAGCATGCTGGAGGCCAGCATGGGCTATGTGCATGAGACCTTGGCTAAAACAAAAAAAAAAAAACAAAAAACAAAAAAACCAAGTAGGCAATAGTGGATTACAGTGATCCAAGTGAGAACAGGCGTGAAGCTGGGAATATGTAAAGTCAAAAGCCCCTGTTTCTTACTTATAAATACATTAATCTAAATAATTATATCCAGTAAATATCTAGCTATTCAACATGCTGGATACAGCATAAAGCCCATGCTGTTTGTAGCTTATCCACAGGACTCCTATTGAAGTGTTTTGAGGCTATCTGACATGTCTGACACCAGATACTAGAATTAATGAACTATATAGTAAGGCCACCATCCTAGCCTCCTTTCTGCTGTGGTGATAAAATGTCCTGACCAGATCTAGTTTAGCTTACAATTCTGGGTTACAGTCCATCACAGCCAAAACCACAGCAGTATGAACTTAAAACAGCATATCCAGAGTCAAGAAGAAAGGCAAGTAAATGTATAAATGTGTCAAGGACTTAGCTGGCTTTGTCAGTCCAGGACTGAAACCAGGGGATAGTACCACCCACAGTGGGCTGAGTCCTTTCACTTCAATTAACCCAATTTTAAAAAATCCCTCCTAGTCATAGGCATGCCTACAGAGCAGCCGGATCCAGGCAGTCCTTCACCAGTGCCAGCTAAGCTTCAGAGCCTATCTTCTCTCTAGGGCAGAGGAAGGTGGTAACTAAGGAGAGCTGTGTATACAACAAATGCGGGAGCTGGCAGTCTGACACCAGTGCTGTCGTCCTAAACACTAAGTTATAGGGTGCTACTTCACTACCGTTTGGTGGCTAAGGACAACAGCTGCCTCTCTTCCAAGTGTCTAAAGAAAAATAACAGAATAAAACAATGCAGGAATCTGCTAAGGTCTATATCTTCAAGTTCGAAATCACTCTAGAGGATGGGTGATCTCAGCAGCCAGAAGAGAAACCTGCCTGTGGGCTCAAGGCTTCTAGTGTGTTGGACATCACTTCCTAACTCTGCCTTGTGTCCGCGTATGTTGTTAGTAAGGGTGAGCAGTCAACACAGGTGGTCATCTCCGAAGACAAGACATTTACTGTGGGCTTCTCCAGCCATTAAATAAAACAGCATCAAAGGGAAGCCGAGTGCACCAGAAACCAAGTAGTCTATATTGTAGCTCTTTGTGTGGGACTGTGGATAAGGCCCACACGTTTCCCTAGCTTTAGGGAGTCACACTTGGTTTTTAAGTCTCTTATAACTCAAACCTTTCTCCATGTTCACAACATGAACCTACTTAATAATTTCCAGAAGAGTGATAGAAAATTCTTTAATGAGAAAAACAGCCAGAGCTCAGCCCACCCCCATGTTCTCAAGTTGCAATTAAACCAAGTCTAATCACCAGTAAGAGAACAACTCTACTGAACCAACAGTTTCTCCTGTGCATGAGGGATATTTTCAGTACAGCAACAAAGCCTAAACCATAGCCAGAGGCACAAGATCGAGACTATACAGGAATTGCGGAATTGAGCCCTGCCACTTGTATTTTTTAAACTGGGATTAAAGTATAAACAACATCCAAGTAACATAGAATTCAAGTGTTTCAATTACAATTTTTAAATCAAAATTTCCCATTAAATTACAACTAATCCTAGTATTGACCATAGGCATTCTAAACATTAAGTGAGCCACACTTGCCTTCTGATGACCTTCCCTTCTAATTCCTACAGGAGATGCTGAACATAAGCCATATATCTGTGGAGATGCAGATTCTGCCTCAACTGTTTTGGATGGGACTGAAGACTACCTCATTCTGGCCTGTGATGGCTTCTATGATACCGTGAACCCTGATGAGGCAGTGAAGGTTGTGTCTGACCACTTGAAAGAGAATAATGGAGACAGCAGCATGGTTGCCCACAAATTAGTAGCATCAGCTCGTGATGCAGGGTCAAGTGATAACATCACTGTTATTGTGGTATTCCTGAGGGACATGAACAAAGCTGTAAATGTTAGTGAGGATTCAGAGTGGACAGAAAACTCTTTTCAAGGAGGGCAAGAAGATGGTGGGGATGATAAGGAAAATCATGGAGAGTGCAAACGCCCTTGGCCTCAGCACCAGTGCTCAGCACCAGCCGATCTAGGCTATGAGGGGCGTGTGGATTCATTCACTGATAGAACTAGCCTGAGCCCAGGGCCCCAAATCAACGTGCTGGAAGACCCAGACTACCTAGATCTCACACACATAGAAGCAAGCAAACCTCACAGTACCCAGTTTTTGCCACCAGTTGAGATGATTGGTCCGGGTGCACCAAAGAAAGCAGATCTTAATGAGCTAATAATGGAGGAAAAATCAGTCAAGTCATCATTGCCTGAACGGAGTGGTGCTGGAGAGTTTCTGGCTTCTTTTAATTTGGGTTCAACAGGGCAACAGATATGCAGAATGGAGAGCTTGTCTCCTGTCTGTTCTGGGTTGGAAAACGAACAGTTCAAATCCCTGGGGAAAACAGTGTCTAGATTGTATCATTTACGCCACCACTACTCCAAAAGGCAGCGTGGATTCAGGTTTAATCCAAAGTTTTATTCATTTCTTGCTGCTCAAGAGCCTTCTCACAAAATAGGCATTAGCCTCTCCTCACTTACTCGAAGTGGGAAGAGAAACAAGATGTTAAGAAGTTCTTTGCCATGGAGGGAAAATAGTTGGGAAGAATATAGCGGAAACATGAAGATTAGAAAGCGTAATGATATTCCATGCCCAGACCTTCCCTGGAGCTATAAAATATAAGACTTTTCTTCAATGTAGGTTAGCTAGCTTTCTCAAAACACAACTCTCAGAGTAGAAACAAGGTAGACATTTCTAAAGTACATGTGCTTCATTATGAATCCATTGATGGCTCAATCCTTAAATGTACATAGATCTCTAGGAAACTCAAAATAGTGTTTTCAATCTTAAAAACAAAAGTATTGGCGGGTTCACTAGTAAAACCATACAACTGGTCCCTGTGATGTGTCTACACCTACATACAGCTCCCTCTCCACCATCCCTTCATGTCACTAGTGGAAGCTTGGAAGTTATTCCAGCTAGGATATACGGTATGGAAATTGCAGGTATCTGGTCTGCTGTGCCTAACCTAAAGGAAACAGTGCAGAATTACATTGTTTGGGTGAGTGAAGACTAAAAGCCACACGGGTCTTAACCGCTGATAGTGAACCAGTACCAAAGTGTCATCTTCTCAGACTTGAAGGCAGTATGCAGTAAGATAATGTATTCTTTTTTTCATAGAAAATGAAAGGCAACTATGAATATTTTAAATTAAACTATTTCACAGGGTTTTAGTTATTTGAAAGTTTCATAACCTGTTATGGTGCTTTTGGTGGAGTTTTGTTACTCATTTTAGGAGACCCCTGTCGGCTGGCTGCCACCTGTGATGCTCTTCACAGGACCATCATCTCAGGGATGAAAGTGGTGACGAGATGATGGCAGGTGCGACAGAAGACTCGAATGCCATTTAAAGGAGTTGTGAAAATAGCACTTTTCTATTTTCTGCTTTTTAAGAAGTTTACAAACAGCAAAGGCATATATTACTATAATATAAAATGTAGTTTGAATAATGAAAACATGACAGTTTTAACTTCTCTAAAATGATTTTCCCCAAAGGAATGAATTGGTATGGAGACTGAGTGCGAACCCAGAGGCCATGTGCACAGGACAATGCAAATTACTGAGGGCCAGGGCTGCTTAGTTCTAAGTGGAAGACAAGCCAGAGCCCATCCACCCGCTTCAGACCACACTGACAGGTCATCTGCTTTTCATTTCAATACTTAAATTATAGCCTACAGTTTTAAATGATCTACTTTTTGCCATTTCTACAGTTTCAAACCAGAAACATGTCTTCACCTAAAGACAGCAAACACGCTTATCAGATTTGTGCAGTGAGCAGCCTGGTTTATCTCAGTCATGAATGTTTCCATGTTCCCCACCCCATCACCCATGTGCTATCTGGGCCAACAGGCAGGAGCAGCCTAGCTGGACCCATTGCTCACACGGTGGAGGCATAGCCACCGCCTAATCATGTTTTGTGTAACTCCACATAACACGCCGCATTCTCCAACCCATAGAGCACTAAGATCCTCAATGTCAGACTTGGATGATTTGAGCATATCACAGGAACCAGCAGAGCTACATCACACCATTAAAGACCAAAACCTGGCTGTTCTTCAGCAATGGTTAAACTGTTAACCTACAGCTTTTATTTTTCAAGCTTTGAGTCTAAGTGAAGATTTTCAGATTTTCAGTATTTGTTTCTGTTGACCTTGGAGTCCTTTATTCTTCCCTCCAGTCCTGTGACGCACTGCGGAGAAGGAATAAGTGTGGCTCCACTCAACAGGATTAGGATTTCATCATCTTTCTGATGCCTGCCCCATACATGAACCTCACTCACGTCTGTCATTTTTTGAAGCCTAGATCTTGCTGACAGCCCATCAAGTACAGGGCTAGTTTCAAACCAAATTTCTAAACAAACAAGAAAACAGAGGCAGCAGAATATAGGTGTACATCATAGCCCAAAATAGCTAAGTACATTTAGAAGAATTTCAGTGGTTATCTATTGGTAATATTTTTGATCAGAATAAGGAGAAAAGAAAAAAAATGAGGTGATAGGCTTTTTATTGGTGGGGTAGAAATGGTGGATGAAACTGGGGTAAACAGACCCATTTTTGAAAGGTCTGATCTGTAGGTCTGATACACAGCAGTGTTAACTCCATTTCTCATGTCATTAGCTCTCTAGAAAATAGAGAAAAGTACTTCTAGTGTGGTCAAGTTAATAATCCAATACTGTAAAAACTAACTCTTCATCTGTTCACAATGTGCGTATTTATAAAGTAGTTAGGTACCATTTGTACGGTAAGTCCTTTAACATAACATTCTATAATATTAAAGTAGTGGTTATTGGCCTGATATATGCTGCTGTTGGTTCTATAAACCAGACGAGAAGCAGTGCTTTGTGAAATGCAGTGTTAAACCTTAATGCCACTGGTGATAGGAAGTAGTTCCCTTCAGTTCAAATCCTCTGCCCTCATTTGCTGCTTGCTAATGTAAGCAATAAGTAACCCTCTAACTAATGGTATCTATACATTTCTGTAACTTATATTTAATGATGGTGTATCTGGTGATTGTAAAAATATTAGACAGATATAAAAGTATCTATACAATATATATTCACTGTAAATGCTGAGGTATAGTCTGTGAATTATGTGTTTTGTACCTCTTTCATTGTGCAATTTAGTGGTGGTGAAAGTTCAACACTCGATCCTTAAAGAGTGGCAGTGTCCCCTTTTCAGTTACCATGATCTGCATCAACTTGTTTGCTTGCTAAACCAGTTTTGTTACAGTAGGAAATAGCAAAACAAATATAGACAAGAAAGTGTAGTACTGATAGGAAAGCAGACTTCGAGTCACCAACTGAGGGTACCACTCCTTGTACATTCACTGTGAGTTGCAAAGGGCATCAGTCCCTAATTTCAAAGGTTTCCTTTTTCACTATTTTTTAGATATGTACATTGGGAAAGCTATCTGAAGTTGGCAACATTACAGCACCAAATATTGGAGCTATTAATTCTATTTATGTCTGTACAACACAGGTCAAACAGAAAAAAGCATGTATATACTTTTTCTTTACCTACAAGTGCCATCCATTGTCCTTGAAGTAATACAATTAGAGTCATGTTGCATTTAATTTAAGTAGGAGGCACCTTGAAAGCAACATCTTTTCAAAGGACAATGTCAGCAATGTCAACACTAAGTCTAACCCTGACCACATTTATAGTGGTACAGCATCAACACTGCATTTTCATGACCACCACACTTCATTGCTAGAACACTGTGCCAGTAACAAGTGCAACATCCAAGGGGCAGACAAAGGATGCACTTTAGTGTTGCAGATAAGCTGCTGTGCTTCAGGAACTTCCTCCCCATCAAAGGCTTGCTGGGCTTTTGTGAGAAAGAGATCTAAATTATTTTAATTTTTAAATTTAATTTGCTCACTCAATGAGCTTTTTCACCAAGGTTACAAAAGAGGATACTACAGTTTTGTTCAAATCTTTGTTTGGGAAAACTTTTCTTTGGATCACGAATTACTAAAAGATTTGTTTTCCCTTTCAAAATCAGGATAAAAGACAAAATCCCCCACTCTTCTGTTTTGATCTATGAAAAGATGGTTGTTTCTTCAAAACAAATTATAGCCAGTATTATAGCAGTCAGACAAATAGAAGCGACCGGAAAAATGCCATTGCATCCTTCAGCAGCATTTTATCTGTTCAAGTCCATTTATTCTATTAATTGGAAACATGAGCGAGGGCAGGGGATTCCACTGACACAGCAGCTGCTCTTGAAAAGGAAATACTTTAATTATCTTTGATGTATTAGATAATGCAGATACATCATTGTAATCTCTCTAGGTGCTCTTTGGTGAGAGACAAGCTTTCTCTTATTCATGACATTTCTCTGGAAAGAATTCTCTCTGGAGTGAAGTGAGTGAAGTCACGATTTACAAACCCGCTCTACAGATCACTTTTGAGTTGAGTTGTAATCATAAGTGATCTTTCATGTTTTATTTATTAAAACTGTTTATTCAGGTAAGGAGTATGTTGAAATTTTGCCAATATCTTAATAAAACTCAGCAATTAAAAAAAGTTATTTGTCTTATTCATAAAGTATTAAGTTGAGTTACTCAGTACTTAAACTAGACAAATCCTTCAGCCTTAAATAAAACCCTCACAATCTTCAGGGGGCGTTGAAAAATCTTTTATTTCTATGTAGCATTGGCTGTCCTGGAACTCATTATGCAGACCAGACCAGGCTGGCCTCAAACTTGGAGATCCGCCTGCCTCTGGCTCCCAAGTGCTGGGTTGCTGCAAGGAGACTGCTTGTTTGTCCCAGCTGCCCAGAACCAAAATAATCACACAGAAACCATATTCATTAAAACACTGCTTGGCCCATTAGTTCTAGTTTCTTATTAGTTAATTCTTACATCTCAATTTAACCCATTTCTATTAATCCGTGTATCACCACATGGCAGCAGCTTGCTAGGTAAAATTCCCAGCGCCTGTCTCTGGTGGATCCATAGCACCTCTCCAACTCTGCCCTTTTTTCCCAGTATTCAGTTCCATTTCCTTGCCTACTAAGTTCTGCCCTATCAACAGGCCAAGGCAGTTTCTTTATTCATTAATGTTAATCTCCCACATCACCTCACCTTTTCTATTTAAATAACAAGGAAGGGCTAAACTAGCAGGGTGGCCAGGAACTGGGCAGCAGAACTAACAACCGGGCCACTCCTCTTTCACTGGGTAAAGTGTGCATGCCAATACTGGAGATGGAGGTTTTCTTATACCTTATGAACATGGAAAGCTGCAAATCGTGATGCTTTAACTATTACCATCCACCCACCCAACAAAAAACAGCAGAGAGAGAGAAAGAGAGGGGTTTCTTCTTGTGTCGCCCACTAGTTTAACTGGGATAAGAAAAGGGGGCCAGTAGAAGAGACAGTAGGAAAGGTGGAGCCTGCCCTGAGCTAAGCAGAGATTCCTCATATTATTATTGTTGTTGTTATTGTTGTTATTATTATTATTATTCTTAGATCTTTGTACCCAACTGCCTAAGCTTTCCTCCATGTCACTGAGTTTCCGTCTTGAAAGGAAAAAAATAAGGGAGTGACGGCTCTAAGTCTTTCTGAAGGGTTTTGTCTAGAGGAACAGTCACAGAAAGGAGAATGTATTAAGAGAAGTGAACTCAACTATGCAGGGCATAAGCATCTAAAGCAAAGCAGTGGTTTTCAGCCCGTGGGTCTCAACCCCCAAAAGGTCATTGGAAAACACAGATATGGACATTAAGATTCATAAAAGTAGCAAAACTACAGTTATGAAGTAGCAACTGAGTAATTTATGGTTGAGGTACCACAACATGAGGAACTGTATTAAAGGGTTACCGCATTAGGAAGGTTGAGAACCACTGAAAGGGATGAACCCAATTAACACATGATGACTCTCTCTTTACCAGCAAGACTGTCACAACAATCTTAAATTTCCTAATCTCTTTGTCATTTAGGCCATAGCATTACTTTATAAAAAAAAAAAGTTCTGAAAGAAAGATGCATTTACGCCGGGCAGTGGTGGCACACGCCTTTAATCCCAGTACTCGGGAGGCAGAGGCAGGCAGATCTCTATGAGTTTGAGGCCAGCCTGGTCTACAAGAGCTAGTTCCAGGACAGGAACCAAAAGCTACAGAGAAACCCTGTCTCGAAAATAAAAAGAAAGAAAGAAAGAAAGAAAGATGTATTTGAAAGGGCTTGCTTTGCAGGAACGATAAAGAACATCTTATTAATAATTATTCGTGTTTGAAAAAAATCCTAAAATTTGATAATTAAGACGAACATGTCTTTCTGAAGTAACAGCATGCCATATATTATAATTAGTCTAAGGGAATCACTAGTATAATAATTATTTGAATTAAGACTTTAATAGGCCAGGCGGTGGAGGCACACGCCTTTAATCCCAGCACTTGGGAGGCAGAGGCAGGCGGATCTCTGTGAGTTCGAGACCAGCCTGGTCTACAAGAGCTAGTTCTGGGACAGGCTCCAAAGCCACGGAGAAACCCTGTCTTGAAAAACCAAAAAAAAAAAAAAAAAAAAAAAAAAAAAGACTTTACTAATGTTTCCTAATTGGGTTAGGGTCTCTCTCAAACGCAAAGCTTTACGTTTGGTCCTGGGCTAGGACTAAGCACAGGAAAGACAGGCATTGAGCTGATTATAAGTTTATCTCCTGCCTCACCCCCACCATTAGCTTTGACCTGCACCTGTTACCTTAAGAACAACTAAGAAAGGACACTTCTTTGTGCTTTAGGAGCCTACTTTTGCTTGGCCTCAGAATAAACTTATGGAAGAACCTTTATTTGTATTTCAAATACAGTTTCTTTTCTGATTCTTCAAACTGTTCAAATATTATTTAGTAACAAAGAGTTTCTCCTTGAACAACTGGGTTTAGTATTCCTTAGCTTAGTTGTAGGATGATGCCCCCATCAAAGAATTCCCAGGTAAAGGTGTCCTGACCTTAAGGTGCAAAAACAGGTCCTGACACACAGGTTCTATCTAGTTTTTCTGATCCCTTTTTTAAGAAAAGGGGAAAAAGTGTGGAAAGCTGTCAAAAATGATCTGTGTTTGGAGAAATTGTTTTTGCAAGAGAGAAACGAGAGTTTTAACTAAGGCTGAAAAGGCCCCACCTCCACAGTGGTGTGACAGCTGGAACATGAGAGCCAAGTGAGACCAGCAGAGTTGCTAAGGACTCACCAGGAGAGGTGACTCACGGAGGCACACCTACGCTGCAGTCTCTCCTCGACACACCACCTGCCTGTACTACTTGGGCAGTAGTTCTGGGTGGGCAGAGAAGCAACAGGGGCTCAGCCTGCTAATGTGTCAGCCAGAGAAAAAGTTTTCACGTAGAGTGATAGTTATGCAGTCCAAACTACAGCGTGGTTAATGGTACTCGCCGCCATTTGCTCTTAAGCTTTCTCAAGTGGAGATTTTGTTTTATTTTTTTAACCTTTTGTAAACATTGATCAGAAAGTCAAACTGTAGTGCCTCTCATAGAAGTTTATATGCTTTACAGTTAGCATGTACTTATACATGACTTAGCTCAAGGAACTGTGACACCAACTTCCTGAACTTACACAAACTCACAGGTTTAGCGGTCTTTTACAAGATGAACCTGCTTCAAAGACCAGCTCATGATCCCCCAGGCTACCTTTACACTTGACCAGCTGGCTCCAAGTGTGGTGGTTTCCACCAGTAAGCTGAGGTTTGTTAACTCACTCAAACTGCACAGAACTGAGGAAGGCACTGTGATCACTGTTTCGTTCTGAAGAAAGCACAGTTATGAACCAGCAAAGGAAGACGCATTGGGGAGGTTCTGAGGGTCCCAAATATAATGTTTCTTGTACCAGCAGGTGACCTTCCTGACACAGTACTGCAAAGCTGGCACATGACAGAGAGACAGAGAGAGACAGAAAGAGAGAGATCCCTTAAACAGAGAAACCCTGTCTCGAAACCTCCCCCCCAAAAGAATGTAATAATAGGACATATTAGAGCCAGGTATGGGGACAAAATTTGGTAGGCAGAGCAGTAGACCTCTATGAATTTGAGGTTAGCCTAGTCTACACACAGTTCCACATCAAAGTGACACAATGAGACTACCTCAGACCAAACACATTACAAGAGTAAGATGAACGTACAGCAAGGATGCAGCTCAGTTGTCAGCATATACAAAAGCCCCAGGTTCAAACCCCAGCACTGATTAGGCATGGTGGCACAGTTCTGTAATCCCAGTATTCCTGAGACTGAAGGACTAAAAGCATCAGAAAGTGTCATCCATGTTATCTATGACAAGCCTAGATCTGTCTTAAAAAAAAAAAAAAAGGTACTACAAACAAGATTCATTACATGATCGTTGCTATGGTTACAAATGGCACTAACAAAAGGAATAGCCGGGTCAAGGTTAGACAGGAATTCTCACAATCTTCCTATAACTCTTAGAAATCTAAAATTATCTCAAAATAAAAACAATAACAACAACAAAATAGGACAATCTTTCAGCTTTTTATTTGTGTTTGCTTAAGCAAAATAAACTGAAAAGGGTATTGTGTCCAAATTTAGAGCATTGCATAATCTCCCTGAATTTCCCACGTGGAGGCAACAAACAACTTGTCTATCTCAAAGATGACAAGGACTCAATCAACCAAGTTGTCAAAATTATTCTGAAACAATAGGATCACATACACACCTTTAATCCCAGCACCTGGGATGCAGAGGCAGAGGCAGCCTGGTCTACACAGTGAGTTCTAGGCCACCCAGAGCTACACAGTAAGGCTGAAATTAGTGACATGGCCAGCACCAACCTGCACCGGTGCCAGGCAGCTCCAAGTGCTGTGACTCCAGGAACAAAGTCTTAAGCCCCCTTCTGGCATAGCCAGACACCCAAATCACATACACATAAATGAAAACTTAAGAGTCCTCAACAAAAAAACCTAAGTATTTGAGGAAGGTTTCAAGTAAAATGAAGGTGGGTGGCTCCTGAGGAATGACACCTGAGGTTAGCCTCTGACCTCAGTATATATGTGCACCTGCGAACACATGAGCATACACATGAACACAAAACAAATACACCTTAATGAAAAAGGTACAACAGAAAAACTAATAAAATTTACATCCAACAAAAAAGAGAAACTTTTTTTTAAAGAGCGGTAGGGAAGGTTGATTATCAGGTGCAAAAGGACAGCGCAAGGCGTTCTACTCTCACGCCTCTGAGCACAGCCCAGGGGGCACAGTTTCTCCTGGCACCAGCAAAACACTGGGTATGCCTGACACTATAGTTCAAGGGTAATGTGCTTGTCTAGATGCCAAACCTTTGGGCTCCTTTCCCAGCAATATCAATTACCAAAAGCAAAGCACCACCCAGGAGGATACTTTAGTATGTAGGATGCTAGGGATCAGGATAAGAACCATCCTTTCTGCTGATGGTGCACTCCTTTAATCCCAGCACTCTGGAAGCAGAAGCAGGTGGATCTCTGTGAGTTTAAGGCCAGCCTAGTCTATAGAGTGAGTTCTAGGACAGCCATGGCTACACAGAGATACACTGT